AGGTATATCAATAAAATAAACACCTTTTTACTTAAAGCAATATTTCACATTCAAGTAATAAAATAAATTCATTTTAAAGTTTAAATAACGAGCTAACTTGAATTTTAAAAAGAGGGTATTTAACAAAATAAATAAATAAAAAAGCGAGGCAACGTGCAATAAAAAAACATTTTTCTTGACGTTTTATTAAATAAACTGAATTATTTTTGTCTGTTGTAAACTAAAAATTTAACCAACATAAATTCAAAATTTTCCATGAAACTACAATTGCTTCAAACTTATAATGCTTCTGTTTTTTTAATCAATAGTATTCACACGAATGTGTTGAGTAGATATGTAGTTTAAAGATTTTAAAATGCCGGATGTAAACTATATCTGTTCAAAAGATCCACGTCAATAAATGACTTTTAAAAAAAGGTTACTTTAATGAAAAATAAGAATTGCTCATAAAATATGATTCAGTAACCAAGAACGCCATGTATGCTATGTACTTTATCTTCAGTATATTTGAAACATGCTATCACTTTGCTTTAGTATTTTGGCTCAACTCTACTGTTAGCTAAGATATGTTAGCTATGTATTATTTTTTATTATTATTTAATTTATTGTTGTCTGTACGTGTGTATATATATATATATATATATATATATATATATATATATATATATATATATATATATATATATATATATATATATATATATATACTATATATATATATATATATATATATATATATATATATATATATATATATATATATATATATATATATATATATATATGTATATATATATATATATATATATATATATATATATATATATATATATATATATATATATATATATATATATATATATATATATATATTACTTTGTAATATCACTAATAAACATTTATTTAACTATTACAAACTTTTAATCTAAAGAATATATATACAATGTTTTGAAAAATATTTTACTATAAAATTTTTTACAACAATTCGGTTGAAAGTCTGTTTTAAGTCATTTAGAATTTATTTTTAATTTTTTTTTTCGTATAAAATAGTAACTGGGTAACTTTCGTGTAAATCTTGTGGAAATTACAAGGCAACAATCATTTCAAGGAGCGAAAGTAGTCGTTTTAAATAATCTTTTAGTTAAAAATGTTGTAAAAAACTACTTTGGTGATTTGATTTGAATGATTTTTTTAATGTTTGTGGTCTGTAAAATATTTTGTTAGAAAATGTATAATAACTATCGCTCAAGTATGGAAGCCATAATGGAAGCCATAATGGAAGCCAGTTTAACTGTACACTACTTTTCCATTATACACCATTTTCCTACACCACTTACACTCTACACCACTTACACCTTACCACGCTCAAAGTTAATCAATCATAGGTACTTAAAAACATCGATCATCTAAAAAAAATCAATCATCTACAATTATACTTTTTCAGAAAAAAATGTATTTAACACAAAACTTGTTATTCTGTAAGCTTTCAATTGCAAACAAGAAGATTTTAGTTATAGAATATTGTGTTTTAAACTTATTCCTTTCGCCAATTTTAAACGTCAAATCAAAAAGAAAAACTTTGACAATTCTCAATAAAGTAACTTTATTTTAAATTAAAAATTAAAATTTATGAAGAATGATTTTTTTAATTTTTATGAAGTAAATTTTGTTATAATAAAAAATGTTTCCTATCTTTAAGCTATTAAAACTTTTTAATTTGAATTTTAAAAGTTTTTTTTGTAGTATATACAAATATACATGGAAAGTACTTATTAATTATCTGGATTAATTTATTAAGTGTAAAGGGTCGTGGGACTAATATCCTGGGAAAATTCTTTCAACTACTTCAAAGTTATTAAATTAGCATATTATGAAATTGCTGGTAGTATAAATAAACATGTGTTATTAAGAATCATTACTAGAAACATTTTTTATTTTATTGATTGTGTAAATGTTTTATTTTATTGATTGATGTAAACCTTTAGTTCCCATTGATTTATTTCTAAAATTAAATTTTATTTTTATTAAAAAATTAATAATCCCTAAACTTTAAACTTTCTTTTTACAAAAGTTCAATTATTTTTTTAAATCATTTAACATAAGGTTTAGATTTTAAAGAATTTAAAAATCTAAACCTGTTTTTAATCATAAATTTTTATGATTAAAAAGCCTTATGACTGTAAAGGATATACAAATAACCTTTTCATCTATTGGGAAGCGGTAGACTTTAACGTGCATGGGTTCCAATTCCAGTAAATTTATTGCAGAAAAAAATATCTCCTGTTGATTTTTTCAAAATCTAAAAAATAATGTGTGTATATATATATGTAAATAAATAGTACCAAAAAAGGAACAATAATTGGTAATGAAATTGGCGTGAGCATCCTAGTTTAATGCTCTCCGGGAGTGTTGAGTAGGACAATATGATTATATAGCTTGTAAAAATCCAGCAATTAATTTTGTTCTCGTAAACGCGTCACTTTTATTGTGTTTAAAATTAACATATTAACTAATTAGTTCCATTTAAGTAAACCAAACTAATTGCTTAAAATTTATTTAATTGTTGGTATGAAAATTTTAGTGAACAATTAAACAAATTCATCCAATCCAATAAAAATAGTGAAAGAATGATTCGAGCATTGTTAACACAATTACCAGCTGTCTAATTAATTTTTTATTTTTAATAATTAGTTTAAAAAAGTGTTAACCAACATGCTTAAAAATCATACGCTATTTGCCTTTATTGCCTGAAAATTCAATTTCGTCTAAATTCCACAAATTATACAAAATGTTATAGCTGATATTGGCTTTAAGAAATTGCTCGCAAAGTGTATAAAATATCTTTTTATATTGTCTTTACTACAAGCAGAAATCCTGAGAGACAAAATACTGCTGTCTGACGTTTACGGTGATTGTCTAACTGTTTTTTTAACATTTCTAACATTTCTCTGATGCATAACTTATGACTCCATTGTTTTGTGAAACCTTGATACCATACTTGCCCTGGCATACCGTTAAGTATAAACAAATTACTTTTGTTTGTTGATGTCGAATAACCCTCAACTATTTCAATAACATCTGCAAACGTTCTGCCAAATCCCCCATCAGCTAAACTGATAAGTACTGAAACAAAACAAATTCAAACAAAGATTTTGTATCGTAGTTGCTCTTTGTAAGTTTTTTTTCGTGTTTTACAAATGCAAGTACAAATCTTAAAACGAAATCTGTGAAAAGGAAAATTTTCACCTTGGAAATTTTTTTTGATTTTTCACTCATAATTTTATTTTGGAACTAACAGATATATTTATAAAAAGCCTTAAATATGAAGTGCTAATAGAAAATTATTAATAGCAATAAATTTTCCTTAAGGCTACCTTTTTAGTTTAAGAATTTTAAATTTATTTTGAGAGTTTAAAACATTTTTGAAAAAAAACTTTTTTTTTAACAAATGTAACTTTTTTTAAATAAAAAATATTACTTTTGTTTAAAAAATTGTTTTTACATCTTTCTCATATTTATATATATATATATATATATATATATATATATATATATATATATATATATATATATATATATATATATATATGTATATATATATATATATATATATATATATATATATATATATATATATATTAATAAAGTTGTTTTAGTTTGACATCAACATTGTTAAGTCATTCTGATTCAAAATATTTACTATAAATGTCTAAATGTCATCATTATGCTATTCGATGTACAATATTAAACCAATTAAAATTTTCAATAAATGGCAAAAAGTACAAAAAAAGACGGTAAAATTATTAAAGAACAATTTTGAATATGTTATGTTATGTTACATGATTCACATATCTGATCAAAACATTCCACTCTCTATGCGTGATTTTTTATTCAAGTTTTAAGTCTAACTTGGTTTTAGGTAAAACCAAAATTTAAATAGTATGAGCTTTAAGATAAGTTGTTTTAATCTGAGTGAAGATTTTTGTAAGTATACGAGACTTATCCAAATTTTAGTGGTCAATCCTTCGTGTCATTGAATAATAAATATTTTCGCCAATGTAAAAGATTTTACATCCTGTACATAAAAATTTGTGAAAAAAAAATCATCCTTGGTATTTAAAGTCGATATTTCTATGGCAACCGACATGTATTCTTTCTATGACAACCGACTTTATTTTTTTTATAACTACGTTTTATTTTGTTTGGTTAAGACGTTTTTAAATATTAAAAAGCTTAATTTTTCAAAAATATTTTGTTTTCATATTTGATATTCTGTTTTATTTACCCGAGTTAAATTATACGAGTTTTTTAATGAGGCAACGTAATTTTATTGTTTAGTTTAAGGATGATGTTTTGATAGTTGTTATTAGATTTTATAAAACTTACAAATTAAAAAATTGGAACTATTTTATAGATATTACTTGAGTTATTAATTTTAATTAAGGAGTTCTCTTTTAATTTCACTCACAGGTTACACGCAAATCTCATTATTTATAAAGATATAAAAGTTTAATTAATTATTAAAACATGACTAACTTTAACCATCAACTGTCAATCAAATGTTTTTGGTCATAATCATAAGACTTTAATCATGATCAACTGTGATTGATCACGATTAACTGTGATTTACCATGATCAATTGTGATTGATCATGGTTAACTGTTATTGATTATGATCAACTCGGATTGAGCATGATGAACTTTTTTTATTATGTTTTTATAGTTGAAAAAAAATGCTAAAGTAATTATATATTTCTATTTTTATTTTATTTTAGAAAATTTTAATGTAAACGAAAAAAAAAATTAATTGGAATTAACCTGTAATAATTTGTTGTTAAAGATAAAAAAAAAGTCTAAAGTTAGAGTTGGTTGGAATAGAAATAAATTAAAGAACTGCATATAAAGTTTTATTGACCTAAAAGTTATAAAATATGATACTAAGATATTTGTTTTTGCATTTAACAATGCTATCACTTGGATCACGTTATGTTTTTTTGATAGATGTACCTCCTTTGGAATATTTAAAATCGAATCCAGATTATCATTTCAATAAAGAAATACATTTAAATAAATCTTCCTACAACAAAATGACTGGTAAGTTTCATTCAGGTTTTTATCGTTTTGTTCATAATTTTATTGTATAATAATTGTTAATTAAAAAGCAATTAATTTTATTTTTTAAGCCAAAACTTTTTGGGAAAAGCAGAATAGCATCGAAAAAAAATTGCTCGAAAAACGGATTAATACCGAAACTTTTTTGATCAATACGTTTCTTTGGGATTAATATCAAAAATTAATTTTAAGAAATTATATCGAAAAAAAAATCGAATTTCACTTAAAAGGAATAATTTTGAAAATGCTTATACGGAATGATACCGAAATTTGAACTTAGGAATAGTGTAGAAAACCTAGCAAAAAAATCTAACATGCGAGGAGTGTTGCTACATCGACTGAAAATACGTAGAACATGCAAAGAGTGTAACTATATCAACTGACAAATAGGTAGAACATGCTAGGAGTGCTGATACAAAGACTGAGGGTTTGGTATGGGCAGGCAGTCTACTAATTAAAAAAAAATGAATCATAATCATTTTTTTAATTTTCAACATTATTCAATTTTTAATTATTTCGATGATAATCATTTTCTTCTAATTTTGATCTTATACTGCTTTTAGGATTTTTGATTTTTCTTTATTCACAACTTCAATTTTATTCTCTTATTTCAATATTAATCCGGAAAGTCCTGTCCAAATTTATTCAGTTTGGTTATTTTCTATACTTTTACTTCTACCCCTTATTTGCAGCAAAACTAAAAAAAAAAAGTTAAAGCTTAGAATTCAAAACATTTAAATAACAATAAATAATATTAGGGTTATCATTTAATTTATAGCTTTAATATTAATAATAATAAAACTATAAACAAATAATGAATATGTAGAAATTAAATATTTTTGATAAAAATTTTATAAAAATTCTATTTCGTTTAAAAAAACTTTTTTTTTAGTTGTTATATTGTTTAAACATTTAAAAAAAAAATGTTTAAAAAAACTGATTTGAATAATACTTTTAAAAGCGGTAGAGTAAAAAATTTTTTTTCTTTCTCCCCAGTGGGCAAGCGTCGTCCGGACAACAGCCATTGGATGTTTTAAGACGTATGGACGTCCAGGAGATTTCTTACGGACGACCTCCGGACGACGCGTGCCCACTGGGTTTTTTAAAAACCTTAAGTATAAATTCTTTAATCCCGATAAAAGAAACAATTACAGCATCATATTTGATAGACATAACAACATTCTCACATTTACAACTGTCATATGATCGCATATGATCAGTGGTAACTATAATGTAGAATTTATTTTAATTTTATAATTGTAAAAACTCTAGCAGATTTCATCTTATTTTTTGATGTAAAAGTTTTAACTTTTGAAATGTGTGTGTATATATATATATATATATATATATATATATATATATATATATATATATATATATATATATATATATATATATATATATATATATATATATATATATATAATTTTTTAAATCAAGTATTGTTTTATTATATAGAAAAAAATAAGAGGGTGCGGCCAGTAATTTTCAAAAAAAGTTGTTTTTCGAATCACCCTTTAGGAGCAGTTATAAACTGACGTGAAGACCTAGCCTACCCTTTTGCATGATAGCCTACTAATTTTTATAATGAAAAATGTGGATATGATGTTGTTAAGGAAATATTAGATACAATGTTGTTAAGATATAGTTGATTAACTAATCGCCTAATTTCTTACCGGGAATGAATTTCTTACCGGGAAACCATACTAGTTAAGCTAACAAAAAAATAAAAACGCGGAAATTAGAGTTTAAATATCTTTCTCAGATTGTACAGTGTTAATGCAATATATTTTATTTTCAATAGTTTGTTAATAAAGTGATTTATTCGAAGTTATGTTGAACTGACAGTAAAAACGTAAAATCTTCATACTTCATCTTCATACTTCATCTTCATACTTCATCTTCATACTTCATTTTCATACTTCATCTTAATACTTCATCTTTATACTTCATCTTCATACTTCATCTTCATACTATATCTTCATACTTCATCTTCATACTTCATCTTCATACTTCATCTTCATACTTCATCTTCATATTTCATCTTCATACTGAAACATTTTTACAATACAGAAGCTATTTGATATTATATTTTAAATACATTTTGTAAAATTTCTTAACGCAAAGGTTACAGCAATTTTACAGCATTTTTTATTCTATAATTTTTATAATTTTTTATATTTTTTTAATCTTTTAATTTTTTATATCTCTTATAATCACAATATTATAAATATATGTTATAATCAAAAATTATAAATTTACTGATTTCAACATTGAGCGGCAATTTAGATTTATTTTTGTATTAAAAATCTTTTCGCCAAATACCCATTAGAGACCCTCCCCACTAACTCGCGCTACACCTACTCGCGCCGGCCCTCATTTAAAATATGTGAATGCATCAATATCGCTAGCAATGACAACTGAACTACAAATGAAAGACGTGCACCCATTCTTAATTAAGAAATAGATGACATCATATTTTTTCTAACTTATCTATACTCTACAAAATGCCTATACACGACACTTCGTTTACATCTGCATATAATGGGATAAGTTTCAGTAGACTAAAGATTATCAAAAACTATCTGTGATCAACAACGACAAAAGAATGTCTTTCTAGATTGGTATTATTTTAATTGAACGTAAGGGTGCTGAGAGCATTGGCTCTGAAGCAGGCACAGGTTATTATACCATTCTTCTCTCCCCCTCCCCTAAGATTCTAAACATCAATCAGGCATTCGAAATAAAAAAAAAACTTTTTATATGCCTTATGAATAACACAAAAATAAATTCACTTATAAGTGAATTTGTTCTTTCATGAAAATGAAATGATGTTATTTTTTTTTTTACGGTTTTAAAACTCATAATTAATTTACTTAAATTTCCCATTGGATTGATATAAATCCACTAGATCGATGTAAATACCATAGCAACTTAACAAAGTTGTAAAATGATTTTTTTATTAACAAGTATATTGTAGCAAACAAAGCAATAGAAAAAAAAAACTAACTGTGAAAAAACTTTGTTGGTGCTTTATATAGATAGATAGTGTATTTAATTTAGATGGCGTAGATAATGTATTTAATTTTTGCTATACGACTGAAATTCAAATCATAAAATCAAGGCAAAGAAATTTTATTTGGAAATTTTTTTTATAACAACATTTGAAAGTGAAATTATCTTACTTTAATTTACTATCAATTACTGTAAATTTGATCATAAAAGTCATTAAACCAATTCGATATTTATTTAATTTCTATTTAAACTAATTTATTTAATTAAATATTTAAATCTCATTTTCACTGATAAAGCTACAAACTATTTAAATTGTAGCAGACATTTGGGCGTCAGTTTAATATATGCCTTTGTCTAACTTTGACGTTTGTTTTGGTTTCATATTCTAGTTTTTCTATGCTGATAAAAAAAAATGCCAACCTCTGTACCAACCTCTCCTATAATCCAATGAATCTAAGAATCATAAAAACATTGTAATTGAGACAAAATCAGATCTAGTTTATTTTTTTAGTTTTTTTTTTATCTGTATAATGAAATAAAAAAAAGATTTTTACATCCATCATTTCACAAAACAAATCTTCTGTCGGTACACATTTTAACAATGTCTTAAAAACGGAAAAAAAACCTTAATTTACTTAGCCTTACCTTAACTCTTAAAGTCTACGTTAAACTGGCTTTTTTTAAAATAATTGTTGCATTTAATAAAATGTTTAGCTATTAAAGGCATATTTATTTTGTAACAATTAAAAAGTCATTGAAATGAACTGTTGATGTTTTTCTGTATTAATTTACTGTTTATTGTTTACTTTATGTGAAATATTTATTATTATGGTTTATTAACTTTAACAGTTTATTTGGTGTATAAAAAATTAATTTCAGTAGGAATAGAAAACGCGCATCATAAAAAATAAAGTTAGCAAAAAAGTAAACAAAAAACAAAACAAAACAAAAAAACATTTTTCTATAAAAAAAACAAAGAAAATGGCATTGTGCTATACCAAAGAGAGCGACTTGTAAAACATCAAAAGCTAATCATCCCTCTTTTTCTAGTTAAAAAAAGGTTTTTCGTCAAGTTTTAAAAATATTCTTATCTTAAACAATTTACATAAAAATGTCACATGCAGATGTATTATTAAAAAAACCTAACTAATTAATGCCTGTTAATTTATGTTCGATCACTAAAAAAAATATCAAAATAGTTCCACCACCAGAATAATATCAGAAGAATATAATTTTTAAACACCATGTGTGTGAAATATTATGCTTCTCTTGACTAATAAAAATCCGAAAAACATTGTTACGTAAATTATGTAAAACTTTACTCGTAACAAGAGTTCATATAAAAAATGACATAGTATGAACATAAATTGTACATTCTAATATCTAGTGCAATGTCTGTCTGCTTTCTCAATGCAATCTTTCTAACTCAACTTCTTCTGACTTTCACTATATTATCCTTCGTTCTTCTTAGAATCACTTACTCTTGGTCTGCGGAGCGGGTTATGATGCTCTTCAGTGAGCTGGACTCTTCTTCGTAGGTCTTAGTATGTGGCCTCTATATGGCAATTAACAGAGGAGGATAAACAACAATACTAAAATCTGAAAAATTTTCTTAAAAATTCTATCGTTAATATTATGATGATAATGATGAATGATGATATAACAATATTTCCATCTAGGTGTTAAGAATTGCCCAGTTTTTAAAACCTCTGGCAGACAGATTTCATTAAAGTACTCTTGAAAAAGTAATGCAAGCTTTGTAAGCAAAGCGAGTAATACTTCTTGTAAAACGTGTACACGAAATAAAAGTGAAAGTAGAAAACCAATTAACTATTAAAATTAAAATCTTCCCTATCTAACAGAATGTAAGATTGGAAAGATCTTAGATTCTGATAGGTTGGAGAGATCGGGGAGCTCTTTTTTGATGATATAAAGCCAACATTAGTTACATTACTTGCATTTAGCAT